GAGCAGGGAGAAAAGTGCAACAATGAATGAATGGAATTCCAAAATCCCTGTAGATATTCACTGAAATTAATAATAAAAAGGGGGGGAAGTGTGTCCCATTTTAGAAAGCAATTTATTACTATTTATTCAAACTCAAAGGCTCTGGTAATATCATGGTTAAAGCACTTAATCAAAAAGTCAGCATATCAAACCCAACATCTATACCACGGACAAGAGATGGCAATCCACTTCCATAAAGATTAAACCAAATGAGGTAATTCTACACAATCCGATAAAGACACTGCTGCAAACTGGAACTGACTTCACAGAAGTAGACAGGGGATTATTCACATTTAAAATGTGTAACCTCTTCAAAGCAACAATCTACTTTAAGAACATAGTTCTAGAAACCCAACTCATCAAGGTATAAATAAACATGAATGTGTGTGTGTGTGTGTGTGTGTGTGTGTGTGTGCGCGCGCACGCGCGCATGTGTATTCATCCCTAGAAAAACTGGGAAAAGAATTTCAATGTCTATCACTTGAAACATGATTGAAAATACTGTCATGATGCACACATTCTATGCAACTACTGAAAACGTCTATGGACGTAGACATGTACTATTTCAGGAAGACCTCCAGCATATCATGTATGATATCTTTCAAAGTTAGTAAGTCAAATTGTACATCTATATATTCTGAATGGAAAAAAACTCTATATATTTATAAGCACGTGCTTATTGGTATATACAGACATATCCTTTTAAATCTAGAAAAATTAAAAGTTATACTTAACTATAAATAGTAATTAGATGGTTTGGTGAGAAGAACTCTGATTTGTTATTTTATAAATTGGAAATGACACTATTAAAGGATAATGGATAATTTTAGCTCTTTCTTCTTTTCCTGGATTTCACTATTTTTCTCAAAAGTTACGCACTACTACTTAAAAATGAAAACCAGACAATCAATGAAGGTAATAAACTTAAATTTCTGCCTCTAAACCTCTAATCTTATAGAAAAGAAGGGGATAGAAAAGGTGAGGACAGGAACAGAGAAAAAGGAAATAATAATAAGAGTATAAGAAAGAGGTAAAAGAAAAGAACAGAAAAGAGTTCCACTATTCCTAAATTCTCAGAACAAGACTAGAATTTCAGGAGTTTCCTCAATGTCTGCCTGGAATTTCTCCAAGGACCTGGCATTCCTGCTTGCCTAGAGAAACGCACTAAGATTACTTAGCACAAGATTCATGAATATTCCCAGCAAAGCGCTTCACTGGGTTGTGCAGAGCCTAAAAACAGCCTTGAAGGCTTTAATTTATCCAGAAAGCATCCAACTATAACCTTAAAATTACTAAATTAAAGAACTTCCTGGGGCAACCTCAACAAAATTTATGCCCACTCTAGCAGGCATTTTTATCTGGATGATCAAAGCTTTCAACATAGCTATAAACAGGGCTTAGAAGGGGCACAAACCCTTACTAAGAATTTGCATCTCCTCCCAGGTACACTGAGTCAGAATCTACATTTTAACAAGATCCCAGGTGATTCTCATAAATCCCCAAGGGGTCTTGTTAAACTACAGCTTGTGATTCAATTTAGTATATCTAGAGTAAGTAGTACTGGTGATATGGTGTCCAGTGTGTTGCACTGCAAACCAAAAGGCTAGTGGTTCAAATCTACCTGCTTCTCAGAAAATGGGCAAGCAGCCTACTCCCACTGAGATTTCTTTACAGCCTTGGAAACCTGATTGAGGATTCCTCTGAGTCAGAACAGCCTCAAAAGGAGGCAATGTATCTGGGATGGAAATGCAAATTTTCAGCATAGGGTCAAAGAGGAACGAACCAGTTTCAAATCCTGGTTAACAAGTGCTTTGCTCGGAACCCTAAATATCAAAACTCCACTTTTGACAAAGAAACAAGGAGCAAGGCAAACGTTTACTATGAAAAGCCCTCTATTTTACAGTTAAGATGTCCTTATCTGGGAATTCAGAGTTCATTCCTTTGCAATGAGAACTGTCAGTGATGAGAATCTGTCTCAAATAGCACAGGTAATGAACCTTGAGTTTAGCAAGCAAGTCATCAAAGATTTAATGTGCACTGTCCACACAGAAACATTAATAATATGTTCAATTAAAGGAGGAGAACATCTCTCAATCACATCAGATGATCTTCAATTTTCTAAATATATTTTAATTTTCCATTAAGAATATATTTCTTTTTAAAAGCAGTATGATATACTATATTAACAAATATTAAGTATAAGTTTGAAATGCTCTGCTTTTATAGACTCTTAGAACACTTCAATAATAATTAATGGACCAAAAATTCAGAAAAAGGAAAGAAACAAAAGTAGAAACTATGCAGAAGACAGGGGTCTGGTAACAAATAATGACTAGATTGATGCCAGGACCCTTTGTAGAGTTGACCACTAAAGGGAGCATGTAGATGGGGTATTAGCTAAACTCTTAAGAAACCTTTTTTCTAAGCTCCTGGTATCCTATATAGTGACATCTTATAGAGGAGGGAAAAAACAACCAAACCAAAAATACTTAAGAAATTTTCTAGTTAAAGAGTATATATTTCCAAGAGACACACTTAACTCTAATCGGTGCTACTCGAAGCGTACTGCCTTGATTAATTCTTATTACAAAAAGTAGATTAGTAAGAAACTCTGATGATGCAGTGACTATATGTTGCACCGCTAAGCACAAGTCAACTGTTCTAATCCACCAGCTATTCCTCAGGAGAAAAGATGAGCAATTGCTTCCCATAAAGATTTATAGACTCACAAACCTATGAAAGGTCAGTGAGTTGGAAACGACTTAATAGCACTAGGATTTTCACCACAAAGTAACTGGATATTTTCTATGCTACTGGTATTTCCATTTAGAGGATATCATGTTTCCTTGGGCAAATCAGTAACTTTATGACCATCTTTCTCTATATAAATACAAAATAGTCCATGATCAAGTTAAAGTATCATTCAGTCAATAATTCAGTGATAACCACTTTAATATTAAAATGTAAAGTAATATGAGATCAATCATACATATACATATATACCTGGAAATTAAGGGTTTGAGTACCAAACTATGTTGTTATTAGTCTGTCATGGTTCCTGAAACAAAAGCGATTTTCAAAAAGCTCTACAAATTAAACTTTTGATAGGTGTTGAATTGAGGGATTCCAAGGATTTGGTATTTTCCTAGTTACAGTATTTTTCACAGAGTAGAAAGTACTAGTGTTTTCTACGAGTGACCGGAATCTTGAAAAAATATTAAACACTTACCGAAAATACTGACACCTGGCTGCTAAAATGACTCGGTGGGCAGGAAAACGTTTCTTTTCCACAACAAATGTGACATCACCATATTCTTCCCCAATCAACAAGGCACCAATATGTTCAGACAAAATGTGCACATGATCAATTTCCCCCACTGCAGTAAAGGGGCGAAGAGGGTGGCTGTTACTCATCTTGTAGAACAGATGGTAGTCACTGATCTATTATAGAAAGAAAGAAGTTCTAAGAGTTAGTAGGAAGACCAGTAAAATGCAAAACAATCACATAAAATAAACAGAGCTAAATAAAAATATCCAAAAACTACACAAGGATGATTTCATCATCAACAAAATTTTCATAAGCCCTTTATTCTGAGAACCAATTCAGCCTACCTTCAGTAATGCCAACAGGAGCTAATGCCTTTCTACTATCATCACACTTTATCATGCTATTGTTTTTGTTGTTGTGTACTGGTACCAACCCATAGCTGACCTTCCAGTGGGTTTTCAGAGACAGTAAATCACACAGAAGACTGCCCATCCTCTCTCCCAGAGCAGGTGATGGATTTGAACCATGAATCTTTGCAATTGGCAAAAACACTGGCATCTTCAAATTTAAAAGTCACTTGGAAAGATTACAATCTAGAAAAGTACATTTTTCTTGTTCCTCAGTAACTCAGGAAAAGGGAAATCTACAATCAGAAAAACTTCTTTGAGCACATCTCTATTTAACAAATTGCCACACACATTCGTGCTTAGAAACACATTTTTTTTTATATATTACCGTCGTTTGCGGCAACGTGTTAACTAGGTTACCCAAAACTAAACAGAAAAGGCATTTACCAACAGACTTATACTTAAACTACAAATAGAATACATAAATTAGAAATGGCAACATAATCATTCATCATATTTCAAATCATTTAAGACTTCTGGTCTGAAATCAACTTAAATAATTTATCAAAACGTTATTTAACCTTCAGAGGTCACAAAAATAATGACATTTAATAATCAAAGTATACAGTAAGTATCCTAACTCCATAAAAAGAAAAGCAGTCTGAAAATTGTTCTTAAAACTGTAGTTTTCCACTGAAGAGAAAAAGTAGCAGATTGGATAAAAAACAAAATGGATCAATATGTTGTCTACAAGAGACACATCTGAAAAATGAAGATAAAGAAAGACTAAAAATAAAAGAATGGGGGAAAATATACCAAGCAAATGGCAACCAAAAAAAAAGCAGGAGTACCAATACTAATCTCTGATAAAACAAATTTCAATGCAAAAACCATCACAAAGGACAAAGAAGGTCACTACTTAATGCTCAAAGGGTCAATAGAACAAGAGGATATAACAATATTGAATATCTATACACCAAATGAAAGACCTGCAAAATATATAAAACACACATTAACAAAACTGAAAAGGGAGATAGACAACACTACACTACTATAGTACTTGGAGACTTCAGACCCCTTTCAAGAAAAAATAGAACTACCAAAAAGAATCTCAACAAAGATACTCAAGAATTAAACTACACAATTAACCATCCCAATTGCATAGATATTTATAGGCTAATGCACACAAAAAAGGCACAATATACCTTCTTTTCTAATGTGCATGGATCATTCTCCAGAATAAATCACATTCTAGGTCAAAAAGCAAGCATCAACAAAGTAAAAAAACATAGAAATTATACAAAGTATTTTCTCAGATCACAACACCACAAAATTAGAAATTAATAACAAGAGAATAAAGGAGAAAAAAATCATACATTTGGAAGCTGAAAAATGAAATAAAAAAGTTTCTTGAAACAAATGACAATGAAGACACTACTTACCAAAACCTCAGGGAAACAGCCAAAGCAGTAATCAGAGGTCAATTTATAGCAATAAGCAAACACATCAAAAGGCAGGAAAAATTGACTATTGACTCTCTAACCCAATATCTCCAACAAATTGAAAAAGAACAGCAAGAAATCCCAACACCCTCTAAAAAAACTGAAATTATAAAAATTAGAGCAGAGATAAATGAAATAGAAAACCAAAAAACAATTGAAACTATCAACAAAACTAGGAGTTGGTTCTTTGAAAAGGTCAATAAAATCGACAAATCATTTGCAAAACTCACAAAATAATTAGAATCAGACAACATCACACCAGAACCAACTAAAATAAAAAAGCTAACATTAGAATATTACGAAAAACTATACTCAACCCTAGAGGAAATGGACAATTACTTAGAAATGCAAAACCTACCTAAACTGACACAAACCGAAATTGAACATCTGAACAGACCCAATACAAAGGAAGAAATTGAAAAGGTAATACAACAACATCCAGCAAAAAAAAGCCCTGGGCAGATGGATTTAGAAGTGAATTTTATCAAACATTTAGAGAAGAACTGTCACCAATTCTACATAAACTATTTCAGAAAATAGAAAAAGATGGAATTCTCCCAGACTCATTCTATGAAGCAAACATATCCTTGATATCAAAGCCAGGAAAGGACACCACCAAAATAGAAAACTATATGACAGTATCTCTTATGAATGTAGATGCAAAAATCCTGAATAAAATATTGGACAATAGAATCCAATGATACATCAAAAAAATAATCCATCATGACCAAGTGGGATTCATAACAGGTATGCAAGGATGGTTCAATATAAGAAAAATAATTAATGTAATTCATCATATTAACAAAGCAAAGAACAAGAACCACATGATCCTAGCAATTGATGCAGAAAAGGCCTTTGACAAAATCCAACACCCGTTCCTGATTAAAACACTCAACAAAATAGGACTAGAGGGGAATTTCTTCAATATAGTTAAAAGTATTTATGAAAACCTGAGAGCCAACATTGTTCTCAATGGAGAGAAGTTAAAGGCATTACCGTTAAGAACAGAAACTAGGCAAGGATGTCCATTACCTCCTCTCTTATTCAATATTGTATTGGAAGTCTTAGCGATAGTAATAAGATAAGAAAAAGACATAAAAGGCATACAAATTGGCAAGAGGAAGTAAAATTATCCTTCTATTGCAGATGACATGATAGTATACTTAGAAAACCCTAAACACTCAGCAAAAAAAAAAACAAAACTATTGGACATAGTTGACCAATTCCACAAAGTAGAGGATACAAGATCAACATACAAAAATCAGTTGGACTTCTCTACAGTGACAAAGAGAATACAGAGCTGGAGCTAAGAAATACAATACTCTTCACAATAGCTAATCACAAGATAAAAAATATTTGGGAGTGAATATAACTAGAAGCACAAAGGATCTATTCAAAGAAAATTACAAAATATTACTACAAGAAACAAAAAGAGACCTGGAGAAGTGGAAGAATATCCCTTGCTCATGGATAGAAAGACTCAATGTTGTCAAAATGGCAATACTACTGAAGGCAATTTACACGTTCAATGCAGTCCCAATACAAATACCAATCCCATTCTTCAACTAGATGGAAAAGGCAATCTCCACCTTCATTTGGAATAGAAAGAAGCCCCGAATAAGCAAAGCACTTTTACTTTTGAAAGAGAGGAGCGAACTGGGGGGCGGGGAGGGGGGGAGAGGGCTGGGTGGGTAGAGAAGTGCAGCAATGAATGAATGGAAATCCAAATTCTCTGTAAATGTTCATTAAAATTAGTAAAAAAAAAATAGAAATAAGGTAGGAGGCATCTCACTCCCTGATTTCAAATCCTACTACACTGCCGTGGTAGTTAAGACAGCATGGTTCTGATAAAATGACAGAATATTCAATGGAATAGAATTGAGAACCCGGAAATCAGCCCATCTATTTATGGTCAACTGATTTTTGACAAGGAGATGAAATCAGTTAGGTGGGGAAATGACAGCCTTTTTAACAAATGGTATTGGCAAAATTGGAAAACTGTCTGCAGAAAATTAAACAAGATCCACACCTCATTCCATATACACAAACCAACTCAAGGTGGCTCATGGACCTAGGATTAAA